ACCACACTTCACTGGTGAAAATAAGCTATCAAACTTGTATTCTTCCTCACTATATCTCGAGTTCTTGCTCAACAAAGTAATGGTGTCCATAACTCAACCTTCATCAAATACTCTCAAAACTTCCAGAATTCATTTCCTATTGGTCTCTAACAGTTCTAACCTAACCATTCTACCTAAAGATGCATAAATTATGGTGTAGGGTGAATTTTGCAAACCTGGTATTTCTTGATTCACAGATGGTGTAAACCTTCACTGCAAGCCTTCAAACTCTTCAGAATCGATCCTTGAATGATGATCTTGCTACTGTTTGCAAAAGTTTTGATGGAGAATGCTTGAATCTCAGAATTCGATGGTGACTTGCAATCTTGAAAATCCAAATGTCAACTCTTCAAATCTCCATGGTTTTGCTCTCAAATTGGTCTGCACAGTTTCACTATGATCAGAGGAATGTGTTTAGATTGAAAGAATGGATGGAATTGAATCAGAATGTGGATTTTGCTTTCAACTTGCAATGGAAGCAAGTGAAATGGCCAACTCTCTCTTCTCTCAAATCTTACACCAACCTTGCATCTGAGCAAGTTCTATGCATTATATAGAGTGGTTTAAAATCATCTAGAACCATCTGGAACCATCCAATGAGAAATTGGAATTCTCATGTCATGAGTTTATGAATTCACTTCTTCTCACATATCATCTCATGACATAGCTCTTGCAGCAACTTTCCTTGGCTTGAAATTCTCCCTAAATGAGATATATGACATGCTGAAACCCTTAGCAAGCTTGCACATTGAGTTTCTTTGAGTTTTGCATTTGAACCTTAAGATGCAAGCAACCAATTTCCAAAGCAGCCCCATGATCTAGGCCTCAAATCAAAATTGTGGCTGAACCATTGTTTTTAGAATGTCTTTTAGAGTCAAAATGACCTATTATATGCCATGGTTTGGATGTGTAACTTGGGATTTCCAATTTCCAATTTGAACTTATTTAACTTATGCCTCCATTTTAGGTAATTTTTATCACTTTTTGCTACAAGCCTTTTCAACACCTCATGACCTCCCTACTAGCCTTAAAACATCATTCTAAGCAAGTTTGATGTTGAAGATTTTTCCATCTGAAGCTTGGAAATAGGAGATATGACCTTATGCTTGAAATGACCTATAATCTCCAAATGACCAAAATGCCCTTGACTTGTCAAAGCCATAAGTTGAGTTCTACAAATCCTATAAAGGACTTCTAGTACTCTCTAGAAATCTAAGAAGATGAGGAACAACATTCATGTTGACCAAGAGTTCATAGGAATCATCCTACTTGGGAAAAAGTTGGATGCAAGTTGGGTGACTTTCAAGGACCCAGATTCACATACCTCAGATGACCTGCGACTTGCCAAAGTCATAACTTGAGCTCTACAAATCCTATCAAGGACTTCTAGTACTCAAATTAAATCTAAGGACAAGCTCTACAACATTCATGTTGTAGGTAAGATGAGATGACAATCACATCTTGAGCTAAACTGCCTTGAAGATAGGGATCAAACTAGGGGATTTTACACTGTCAAGCCTTAGAAACCCTAGCTTAAAACTTCTCAAACTCCTCAATCATGATGAGTTGGTCTAGGAATCATCCTTATAGTATCTCAATGCATCCATACATGATCACATGGCTCTTGGATTAGGTCTCAACCCTCTCCAAATCATCAGTTGACCTAGGGTTGACCCAGTCAAACCCTAATTCCACCACTCATGGCTGAGTCTTCTGAATCCTTGTACAATGACCTATCTAGGCTTCATTATGGCTTTCAAGACATCTCATAAGCTCTCTCAAAGCTTCAAGTCCATCCTCATAGCCTCAGAATCATCTGAGGGGCTCCCACAACTCTCAAGTTATGAGGCATACACCCTTGGTTTCAACCAATCTTTCTGAGGATCTCTTAAATTCTCTGACAAGGATATCAATCCTTGAACACTTGAATAACCTTCTTGGCTAGCTTCAAAGTCTTATATAACTCTTGCTGGGTAACCACCTTTTGATCTACTGCCCCCATATCAATGAGAAGCAGATGATCATGCTAGTAACACAAGCTAGGTACATAAATGTTGGTCAAATTTTGGGGTGCAACAATCCCGACCCCTCTTTCCATCTTTAATGTACTCAGACAGACATCCTCTCTTGATTAGCTCCATGATTGCAACCTTTAGTTGGATGCAGTCATTGGTGTTGCGATAGTGACTTTTCTTGCAAACAGAAGTACTTTGACTTGGCAGTCCGAGAGGGTTCTCTAACTGGGAAGAGATTCATTACCCATGTTTCTTGAACTCCTTGTTAACACATTCTTTCCAAATTATTTCTTGGGAGGTTTTAATGGGAGTGTATTTGTCAAATCGAGCGTGGGGCCATGATCACCTTCTTCTTTGCACCATTTGGGTTCCTTTCTTGATGATCGGTTAGAACCTACGTCGGTCGGTTCCCTTCTCATCGTAATTAATAAAGGTTCGAGGCCTATTCAGCAGATCTTTTAAGTTGTGGGTTTCCTTACGCCCTAGTTGGTCCATGACTATATGATTCTGTCAAATAAAGATTTAAACCAAATCATAGTTGATCCCGTTAAAGATAGTGCAAAATTTTTATACTTTGCAGCGTTATAAACATGACAGTAATCTAGATGGCTGTCTACATGTTGTACATGATCATCCAAATCTCCAATTCCATTGTATATTTGGAGCTTTGGAGGTTTCTCTAGCAACATTGAGATCTGACTATCCAGAATACAAGCAAAGAGAGGATTCTTCTTTTGCTCTTTAACAGGAGATCACTCCTCTTATTCTTCTTCCCTTTGAGGGCAAAGGACCTCGAGAGATGTGTGACTGCATTGTCCTCCTTTAGGACCAGGAGGAGAAGTTTGGTGCCTTTGGCTTCTTTGGTGGCTTGGAGATTCCAAATCCGCTTCTCGACAAGATGCTACTAGTTTGGGAAATGACTTCTCGTACTGTGTTGCTCTTCGAATTTGCGTGGTGTAAGTTTTCTTTGATGCCAAGTCATCTTTCTTCTAAGCCTAGCGAATTTCGTTGCTGAACGATATTGTAAACAATGTTCAATAATTCATTAGCACCTTGTAGACCAAGGTTAACTTGCAACAACTAGAAACTAGAGAATGCTTATGATCTAGGTACCATCAGCAGTGCTAGAGGTCTGAGCGTTGGTTCGCCTGGATGAAACTATGGAGCGAACCTAATATTAGGAGAGGTCGAAAGACTCCTAGAGATGTTCTAGGCTAGACATGATATTGAGGTGACTGTGCGAATGGAGAATCCACGAGAGTTTGATCGCCACCTTTTTGAGGGATAAGTGGTGGATCCTTGGCAAGCGAGGGAGGCTACGGCAGTGGCTGCTCCGCGTTGTGCAGCAGAGCGAGTAGTTTTTGAACCTGCCATAACTGATGGATATGGAAGGCGGTCTAAGAAACTGTTGGAACTTTAATTGATTAGAGTGGAAATTGGAAACATTTGTTGACAATTAATGAGCAATAAATGAATACAAGTAAGAACTAATATAGAAGTGAATTTGAAAAGACTCATTTTTAGTCCCACATTGAAGGGAATGAAAATTAAGATTCAATTTAGTCCCACATTGAAGGGAATGAAAATTAAGCCTTACTAGCTGCCTATAAATACAGGGTAGAAATTCAGTATTGAGCACATCGGAATTTCACAAATTCACACGAATTTTGATTTCCTTCTTCTCTCCCTTTATTCTCTTCATCTTACAATTTTTTCTTTTCTTGACTGGTTATTTGCGCCAGATACTAATTTAGAAAGGTGTATTTCTAGAACGATTTATCAGTGTGCAACTGATAATCGTAAGTTTTAAGAACGGGCTGTTTTATCCTGGAGGCGTCATCGTAAATCGACTGCTTTGCATAATTTGGCAGTACGGCGAAACGTCTTAAAGAAAGCGACCTAGTACGCGACTCGTCCCGATAATTTCCTTGTGCCAAACTCAATTTTTAAATCCGAAAACAACAGAAACGATATTAATCTCCAATCGGAGAGGATCGAGAATATAGACCTACAATTCAAATTTAAGAGAACTGGATTTCTAGGCAGAGGAAGCGTCAATTCAATGAATTGAAGGATGAATGCTTGAATGTGAAAAACGCGAGGTTCATATGTCGATTCCCACAGTCGGTGCCACTATTCCGTATTGAAATTAGAATTAATCGGTGAACGATTGATATGGATCGCATTAGTGGATTCGAGCTTCTGATACAGTGGAGAAAGAGTTGATCTGCAAAGTTAGTACTCTAATGCCCAAGTCAACATGAAAGTTTGATGAAGCGAATGAAATTTACATTCAACTTCCTGAAAAGTGGTGTGTTCTCTCTTTTATACAACAACATCTAACGGTGTGAGATACATGAATGAATCTGTTCGAATGATCTTGGGTTGGGATCGTCTCCTTCCTCGTCTAGGACAGCGTACTTGTTTAGCACGTGGTCTGGTGAGACATTTTGCATTCTGGAAAATAGTTATTGGGCCTTTTTCTAGACAGCCCAGAACAAAATCTACATTTGAATTGAAATCTGAACAGTTCAATTTTGATCAAAGATCATAAATGTAACATGACATGTTCATTATCATATATAGATATATAATAATAACCTGCCTTTTTAGAATCGGTGACGAATTAGTGAAGCAGTTTTTTGTTTCATTTGGTTGACGTAATCTAATGCCTTTTTCTATATGAAAGCATGTAGATGCTATTTTTGACCATATTTAAGGCATGGAAGAGGGACCCTAAATGCAATTTGTTTTGCTTTTGTCCACCAACTTTCTTTCATTTAATATAATATACAGTTGATGTGAATTGTAACTTACTTAAATATGAAACCCAATACAAAAACTCACCAAGTCCATGACACAAGAGAACTTTATGATGATTGGGGAATGAAATTAATGAATTAAATAATTTATACAGTTGTATCTGGTAAGTTGGTAACCACTAAATTATAAGCTCATGACCTTTGGAGCAAACCTCATGAGCCTTGTCAATGAAGTGGGCAAGAATTTTCTAGCAAACAGAAAACAAACATTTGTGTTGTTTCCATTATACTTACATGTTTGGTTCCTCAAATTCTCCAAAAACTCAGTAGTAACCTCTGGTCTCACATATTTAACTGGGTGTGGTCCACCCTTAGACCAGTCAACCCAAGTCAAACTTCTATTAGAATTCCTCTCCCAAAACTTTATGCTAACAAAAGTTGGCAAGTAATGCTCATCTGCATAACATGAACCTTTACAGTATTTTTCAAAAACCGGGTAATATGTTCTGTCGGATATTACTTCTAGTGCAAGTTTTCTGTCCATTTCAAACCATTGAGACCCTTTTCTCCATTGTTTTAGTTTGATCTTAGGTGACATTTTGACTCTATACCGTCCACGTCCAACCGAACTCGCCTCGTCGTAAGCCATGACGTAGCTTTGCATCGAGTTCATTAAATAAGAGTAGACTGTTGAGAAGTTGAAGAGTGGTATGCAGGACTCTGATATGAGAACAAATCGTTGGTTTGAGATGTCGAGAAGCGCGTTTGCTAGCAAGCGACGCTCGGCTTCAATCATGTTGAATTTTCCCCATTCTACTTTCTGCATTATGTGGACATCAGATGAAGGGTATTACTATTACTATATTTTGATCAAAGTTTCTTATTAGTTACTACTCATAAACAATTTTATATATGGAACTAGAAATTTATATATTACCAATTTTTTTCAACAGATATTTACAATACAACATAACTACTAATGTACTAATATAAGAACTTGATTATAGGTATGTATTATACATAGCTATGATCATGTTTTAATATTAAGGTGATTGGAAATGCTAAAAAGCAATTGAAGAAGAAATTCACTAACCTTACTAGGAATTCTCCTACCATGAAACACAGGACTTTCCACTTCTGAACCATTGTAAGACGGGTTAGAGTGCACATAAATACTGTAATACCCTTTATGCCGTTTGAAGAACTTCTCCCACAGAGGGGCCAAAGGCACAGGGCCCCTTACCAAGAACAAAAAAGCCACCTTTGGAACTCGATCGAAAGGATATTCGTCTATCTTAGGAGTCAAGGAAGCTCTCCATAACAATTCTTCGTCATACAAATCATGTACAACCTGAGAAGGCTCAATGAATTTCTTCAATCCTACATGACTATCATTGAGGCTGGAATTAGATACTCTTGGTGTTAAGATTAGTGGCGGTGGAGTTGTTGTTTTTTGTGATGCAGAAAGTGAAAATTGTGTGAATTGAAGACTGAAATTGCAGCTTTTAAGATAGAAACTGAAGATGATTCCAATTGTAACACCACAGGTGAAAAGGAGGAGATAGCTGAGAAAGCGAATGAGATGAAGATGAGAATTAAAATGTCTGGAAATTGGGTTTAATGAATTTTGATTATTTGAGTTCTTCATGTTTTTGAAATGAAATCTACAGAAAAAATGAAAAGATGGATTTTTATTTTTTATTTTTACTTTCAGTTATCTATATATGTGGAATAAGAATATTAAAAAGGTTTGAGAGAGTTTTCTTGATAAGAAAGGCTAATGAATGATGAAAAGAATACGTTTGGTATAGATCTGTTAATGGCTTTTTTGAAACTGCTCATATACTTTGAAGTTAAGTTATGAAAACTAAATATTCAACAAGTTATAATTAAAAGGTCATAAAACCAAAGTTAGAACGTTTTAAATAAATGAATGAATGAAATAAAGGATCACTGAAAAGAGAGAAACGTTTTGAAATTTATGGTGAAGGGGCTTGGTCTGTGATGTGAGACCTTTCACGTGGAAAATTGGCGGCCTATAAGATTCATGAATTGGAATTGGAGGCTATCTTTTTATGTATCTCTTTAATGCTACTTAAAAATTTTATGGCAACTTGTTAAAAAAAAGGGTATTGTTAGTAAATGTAATGAGAATCATTGGGTTTTAAAATTTGAAAAATGATGCAGATTTTTGTAGTTAGTATGCGGTGAAATTGCAACTTGCAAGTCAATGATAACGAAATTAGGAGTCGTGGAAGACCGAGTTACGTGTATGTGGCTGCCAGCGGCCAAGGTTGTGAAAGTGATTTTCAGGACCTTTGTTTTATTGGTTGAATAATAAATGAAAGCTATTTTTCAATGAGTTTTTGAAAACGTGTAATGGGATTGAAAGACTTTTTTAATGGTTGACGGATGAGATGGCGTTCTAACAATCAAAGCCACGAGTTGAAAATAATCATACTTATACTTGGTCATAGGGAGGAAACTTAATAGTTTTCCCTAAGACGACTTACCTTTGTCCTAATAGGATAATTCAAAGGGTTAAGTATATTTGCTGTCTTTTTAAATATTTCAATTTTGTTTTTAGATTCTCAAAATATTTTTTTTTAAAAATAGTTTTTTTTAAAACTTTTCATCCACAGTTTTGGTATAATATTACAACTGTCTATAAAACCGTCGATAATTCAGTCGTTAAATAATAAATCATTGCTAAAATTATCATTAATTTTGTGGCTATGTTGTAAAAATCGTCACTAATTTATAAGAGGAACCAAAAATGTGGATGACAAATTATAGAAAAACTATTCCTTAAAAGAAATAAAACAAAAAATTGAGATATTTATGAGAATCACAAATATATTTAACCCTAATTTAAATCATAAATTCACACATTAAATAAAATGTACTATCCTCTTTTATTTAATATTATTTCAAATCAAAATAGATTATGCAATTTACTCATTTGTTACTTGTTAGCACACAATCAAACTCAGACATTATAATTTCTTTTAGACAATACAATCAACAAGGTAGATATTACATCGCCTGCTAAGTTGATCCATTCCGTAAGATTATCCACAAACATTAACGTCCGTAGTGCGGATTGGTAGAAAATTTCCCACACCTCAAAGATCAGTTGGCATGAAGCTAACCAGAATTCAAGCTCAACTATAACGCTTGTATAGAGAGACCAACTATAAGAACCAAAACTCCTAAAATGAAATACCTAAACGGAAGGATTCCCTCTTAGAGAAATGTTGGTGGATAGTGGAGTTCTACCCTTCTACATTCTCGATTCGTGAGAAGGAATGAGGCAAAAGAATCTATAAGATGTGACGCCTCGCAACCTAGATACCCCAATCAACCGCAAGAGAGAACCATTAAGGTAAGGGAAAAACAAATCATGAATCACAAGAAAAAAAAAGTAGAACTAACTAATAAAAATAAAAGGCCTCACACTCACACACCTTAGGGAGACGGACATCGAGGTAACATTTAAAGAGAACAAATGAATATACATGAAAATTTCAAGCATGGCCTCTAGATTGAATTTTTAGGGGTTTTAAAAGACCCTGGTCCTTAAAATCAATGAGGTTTAGGCCTTCTTTGTATGCATGTGTTAAATGATGGACTTTATATAACAAAGTGTTGGATGGATTCTTTTTTAGAACCACCTTTCTCAGCTTTCATAGAGAGACTCATTCATTTTGAGAAAATGTAGTTATTTAGTTCTACTTCCGTGCAATTTTGGTTGGTGGGAAGTATTTAGACACAAATTCCTTGGATAGATCCTCCCATGTCATGATTGAATCTCCATCCAATGGGTGAAGCCATGCTCTGACTTGGTCCCTTAGCAAAAGAGAAAAATAGTCTTAGCCTTATGACGTCATTAGTTACAACATTCATTTTTAGTGTGTCACCCACTATATTCTCGAAAAACAAAAAAAATGTGAAGTCATGTCATTGTTTGGAGAACCCCGGAATTAGAATTTTTTTTAAAATAACCAACTATTTCAAATTAATTCCCAAACAAAATAAGATTTCAAAATATTTTCCAAACTAACCAACATTAAACCTTGGGTCGCCAATCCAATTGGCGAATGCACCTCCCTTTCAACAAAGTCGCCATTTGGGTTGGCGCATTAGTTCTGGCCTTCAATGGATTCGCCAATCCAATTGGCGAATCAGGCCTGTTCCCCTTTTTTTTTTTCGTTTCCAATTTTTCTTTTCTTTTTATTTGTTTTTATTTTTATTTTTATATTTTTGTTTTATGTGACATATTTAAATTGATTTAGGTTTAAATATATTTGTGATATAGTTTTAAAATATATATTTTAAATATATTTGTGATTTAAAATAAAAATTGATTTAAATTGATTTAAATAATAAATATAGTTTTTAAATTATAAATATATTTAAAATTCAAAATTATAAATTAATTTAAATAATAAATACAGTTTTTGTGATATAGTTTTATAAAATAATAAATATATTTGTATATAACTTTTAAACATAATAAATATAAATAGGTTTAAATTTTAAAACATAATAAATATATGATTAACATATAATTTTAAAACATAATTCGTATATAATTAAATATATAAATTTAAAATATATGATTGTAGGTCACCTTTAAATTTTGATATTTTTATATCTTACGTTGAAAAATTTTGGTATTTGTTGAAAAAAAGTATATAAAATTTGTAAGGGTATTTAAGGCATATCATATGGCGTACGTACTATTTTATTTTTCTATAAATACGACTGCAAACGCATATATTTTTCCACAACATTTTATACCAAAAGACTAAAGTCTTAATAATTTTGAGTGGAGTGGAGTTTGGAATGTCTGCATTTCTAAATCAACGTTCTTCGTCGTCGTCATTAGCATCAGAGGAACCGTTTCCAACATTTCCTCTAATGAAAAGAAATGCCCTAGTTTATTTTTCAGCAACAAAGCCTCCGATGAAAGTGCTCCTGTGGAATACGTAGACGTTGGAGCATTTGCATAGGGAACTGAACCGCTGGTTAGAAGGAGATATTGCTGCAGGTGAAAAGATTAGGAAAATTGAGAGGTGGGTGGAAGAGGCAGGGAGAAACAGAGTTGCTCGTGAATGGAGAAAAGTGGAAAATGATGCTGGTATCCTTGTGATGATGTTAACACCAAAGAAGATAACGTTGATGGTTGTGATATCGTAGACATCTTGGTGCATTGTTCTGTTTTATGTCGTTTTGTTGTTTTTATTTTCAGAATGTTGTTGTGATATTAAGTTATGTTTGTTTAATTTTTGTTGCTTGATAATTGTAATCGGTTAAGTATGCTTTAAATGGAACGAAATTTGCTTTTAATTTAAAGGGACACGGTTACATTAGACACTATGATCTTGTGCTTGATCCTACGTTAGGACATTTTGTACGATTGTGTCCTGGTTGCCGACACGAACTATATAATCTTACCATCTTGTTTGCGGTATCCATCTCCGTTCGAATGCACGTGCTGTTAGGGTGACCCTTTTTCTTTCTCCGCATCAAATCATTATGCCAGACAATTTCGCCTTGTATTAAAGCCAGTAGTCCTCATTTTCCACCACCTAAAACTTGCATGTGTAGACATTACATAGACTTATCACTTGGTGAACTGCAGAAAGAAAGTTGGTTGGGTCCTGGCGCGCCTTCGAACATGCTGCTATAACATGAGAGCAAGGCATATGAAATATGTAACACCCTGTTCCCCAAAATACAAATAGATGCAATTAAAGTAAACAAATACCAGAGTCACCACAATCACAACGGGATGCCACAGAAATAAACATCAACAAGACATCTTCATTAACGAATTTTGATAATTAAACAGTGAAAATATATATACATATATTCACATCATATACATAAACGTCATATTCACCATGCACGGCCGACACCCAAAATATACAAGATATATCCATCACAACGGATCCGACAGAACATGATACGCCACAGGGCACAGAAAATCAACAAATAAATAATAAACTCCCAAAAAGCCTCGGTGTTACGTATCAGAGCATCCCTACGACTCGACTCGCCACAATCCAAGCTAGCTACACACCTGGGTTATCTGTACTTCCGAAAAAGCACAGACCACAACAAAAGCAAGGGGTGAGAAATCACGATCAAAATATAACGGTAAATACGTACATGAATAAAAGGCAGTAACATACTATTTTCATTTCACACACGTCAACCCGGACCTACTGTCCCACACCAACACAACATATAAACCATGCAACACATTCAACTCAACCCATGATATGTGGTACCGACTCAATGGTTCGTCAACCAATCTCAGGATAGATCTCATACACTCCATCCGAGCAATGATCTATCCCTACCATGCTCCCCCTGAGCACATAAACATGCATCATGACATGCATACACCAATGCACACAGCAAACACACGCACACACCGTGCATACGATCCTCTGATCACATTTTATACATCATATATGTTTCACACATCACCACATTCATACATCATACCTATATGATACACACTAATTCAAATATTTATAATTATACAATTATCATGGAAATCACGTTCCAATATCACCTACACTCCCCACAAACCAAACTCAAGCTCACTCTCAAGCACGACCAGCAAGGGTCCTA